TGGGTTACTTGCAGGTAACCCACTGTGAACTTTGCACTGGGCCACATTCCAAACATTCTGGGATGGGCCACTTTCGTTTGTAAAGTAAATACTTAAGCTTCTATAGAATTGTTTAACTTGGCATAAATCAATCATCTTAGGATGAAAAAGGTTTATAGAATATATCAGTCACGGATTAGGTTATCCTTTGTTATGGGATTTTAAGATTATCATATGAAAAGGGTTTAAAGGCAAACATTGATTAAGTTTTCATGGATTAAGGTTTCTGGTGGGTGGGGGATGCCCCTCCCACATCTGACTTTGTGTATAAAAGACCCATTGTAATTCCCAATAACACACATCGCTTCTGCACTAGACTGGAGTCCAGTCTCTTTCTCTCTCTCTCTCTCTCTCTCTCTCTCTCTTTCTTCTTCCTCCCCATCGCCGATGCCATCTCCACTTTTGGAGTACCCTGAACCCGGCTGGAGCTGGTCTCCAGCAATGGTATCTACTTCTGATGAGGCCTTAGGAAGCTTTTGGTTGTGGTGGAAGGAGAAGGGGGAGCAGGAATTACACAGCAACAGTAGAAGCAAGAGAAAGAGAGGGAGGCACGAGGCTCTTTTAAACAACCAACTCTCGCGTGAACTAAAAGAGTGAGAACCCACTCCTTATTGTGAGAACCGCACCAAGCCATCCACAAGGGACCCACCCCCATGATCTAATCACCTTCCCCCAGGCCTCACCTCCAACACTGGGCATCACCTGTCTGTATGACCGCCAAACCAGACCATGGTCTAAAACTTCAACACCTTGCCTGACACATCCCTTTCCTTGCTTTACTTCTTGACTTTTGCACCATGAGCAGGGATTTTCAGGTGCTTTGTTCACTGTCATCTTCAAGAATCTTGTATAGTACCAGGGAAATAGCAGGTGCTCTATAAATATTTGTAGACTAAATGTTGAGTGAATTTGACCCAATGCGATGTGTGCTTTCCTCATACTCCCACAGAAAATCCTAGATGCATTCCGATTGTAGACCACCTGCTGTGGCCCTGCTGCTAAGTAGTGTGGCAGCCCAGTCTTGCCTATAGGTTCACATAAAAGCCCTCTCTATACCAGGGATTTCAGCAGCTTTTTCAGATGAAGATTCCTTGACATTCAGCTACATTCATTCAGAATAATACAGATTCACTTTTCATTTTCCAAGTTTCTTTATTTTTTTATATATTTTATTTTAAAGATGTGGGGTACAATTCAGGATTAGGTGCATAAGTGGACATTGTATAGATAAAGTTTGGGCCTCCCTTTGGTCCCCACTTTGCTTGGTTTGAGATCAGGTACCCTTAATGATGTTGTGTTCCCTCCCCCTCCTACCCCAGCAGTATCCTGCTACTGCCAATCCCTTTCTTAGAGTATCATGGTACATGTTCAGGCTCTGCTTATGAGTGAGAACATGAGGTACTCAGTCCTTTGTTTCTGTGACAGATCACAGAGTATTATTGACTCTAAATCCATCCAAATTCCTGCAAAGTCCATATGCTTGTCCTTCTTTATGGCTGTGTAATATTTCATTGTGTATATGTACCACATTTTTCTTCCAGTCCAGTTTCGATGGGCAGCACGGTTGGTTCCATGTTTTTGCTATTGTGAATAATGCTGCAATAAACGTGCAAGTATCACTGAGTATATTCCCAGTAAGGGGATTGCTGGGTTATAGGGAACGTCAAGAAGTGGGGCGATTTCCAATTTATTTCCAGTCTTTTTCCTTTTATCTCAGTGGCTTTTAGCTTTGGCTATGTGTGAGAGTCACCAGGGAGAACTTTAGAAAACCTCACAAGATTCTAATTTAATGGGTCTGGGTAAGGGAGGTGAGTGATACCCGGGTCTCCTACTTTTAAAAGTTCCTGAAGTAATTTATGCAAGCCAGGGTTGCAAATCAGTGTCTTAAGTGAATTCCTGAGTCTCATTTCTCTGTGATAATATTCTCTGTTTCCATCTTTAAATCATTCAAGAGACTGTGGTGTTGAAGATGTACTCTCAGGATGTCACATATTTGTACTTAAGCAATATGAGATTGCATTTTAAGTACCTCAGCCTCTTAAAACAATGTAAAGATGGAAGCAGAGAATGTGCTCCTGGAAGAAACCTTCCAGTGAAGATAGACGGAGTGAGCATGAACCGTAAAGTCAGCCTGGTTCCACAAGTGTTTACGGAGTATCTAATGTGCACCCAGTTTCTCATGGTATGTTAAGCACTGTGAAGATACTGAAGCTAAAGGGGAATGAGGATGCTTGATATATCCTTGCGCTCAAAAAAATGAAAGATTGTTAAGAAAACATTATAAAACAACACACTATGAAGGATCAAAATATGTGTACCTGATTTCATGACATACAGGAGGTCTGGGTAGGGTATATGAGAAGATAGGCCGGAGAGTAGAAAGTCCAGATAACCAGCATCTGAGGATACTGTCTTATGAGGGAGAAATAAGGGCAGTTAAATAAGGAAGAGGGATGATCATGATAACCACAAGCAAAGAGATCAGTCAAGATTCTTCAAATAAGCAGGCCCTAATCACTGAAAACACAGGACAGTATTTTGTGTGTTCCATGCTTTACCCAAAACTGTTTTTGTTAGTTACTGATCTTGTATAAAACAGGCAACTGTGACTTTCCTAGTAATTTCAGTGTTAACTTAGTGTCATTAGTTTACTCTAGATTCACTCGCCTGAGTGATGAAAAAAGCTTTGGGAGATCAACCTCCTCTGAAAATAACCTCGTGAATGATGTGAATCCTTACCTTGACTGGCTCCTTTGACCGGTTCTTACCTGTCAGTTACTGGACATACATCTTCTCTTTCCCCAGGAATCTGACCTCACCTTTCGTCTGGCCAGTGGGCTCGTGATATGGCAACCCATGTGGGAGCACAGACAGCCTGAAGTCTCTGGCTTCACAGCTCTGGTAAAGCCCATCCGGAACATCATTACAGGTTCGTGACTTGGACACCCAGTGGGACATTATTACCAGATTCCCTCACACATAGTAGTTAGGGTGATGGGATGATTTGCTCTTAAGAAGCCAAAAAGAAGCAAATCTCCCCACGGAGTTGTCTAGGTGTCCCAGTGAAAGGCTTATTCACATGAGGAGAAACTATTCCAAACCAGGGGCACGTACATTTCTATTAAGGATGTTGGGTAAGTCATTTAACCTTTCTGTGCCTCAGTTTCTTCATCTGTATAATGGGAACTAAAATATCACGTGGATAGGACTTATAGGACTGTTCTGAGGAATAAAGGAGTTCATGTATGAAAAACTGCTTTGAAGTATGCCTGGCACATAGTAAGCAGTACCTGCTATTATTATTATTATTATCATTATTATTATTATTATGTCATCATCGTCACCATAACCATCATTGGTGAAGCAGAGGCTCCTTAACAAAATCATCTTGGGGTTTAGTTGCTATCGAAGCATTTCACTTCAGGAATTGTCTAATGAGATTGTCCTATTTTTGAATTGTAGAAACTAGCACAACATGATAGGTTGAAAGGTGGATAGAGGTTCGTGCTTCACTCCCAATCTCTCTCTTACTGTGTATGTAGCCTGACTTCCCTGAGCGATTCTGTTTATGTCAAATAGATGTGATAATGCCACCCCATACTAAGAAAGAAGTGGGAGTTCACATCAAGTGCCTGTTTCTAGTAAATGCTCAATAAATTCCACCCTACTATTTTCAATTCTGTTTTGAACATCAATAATAAAGTCTTAAATGAATTAAATTACATAAAGAATCTACTGAAGCATATATTCATATATGTATCCTAAATATATACACACATAAACAGAATAGTTTACTTAATTCTTGAGATTTCTATGTAGATAATGGAGGATTATGCATGTAAAAGGACTTTATAAAGGGAAGGAAATTATAAGCAATTCTTGCGTACTTTTATCCCCCTATAACTTAACACAGCCTTGCAAGGTACATAAGATGTTAAGGAATTGTGTAAACAAAAGAGTGCGGTATTATTCATCTATTTGATAAGATACTTATAGTGACAAATATAGTCTTTCAAAAGGGGGATGAAATAGTTTTCATATAGAAAAAGCAGCCTAACTGCACAATTTACATGCATACAAAGCATTAATCTTGATATATTATAAATTCAAGAATAATAGTTTGTCATAGATTCCAATATCAAAAGAATAAGTATCATAGCCAGAAATCTGCTTCAGATTCTGTGTGTGGAGTGAGGTTAATTACTTAGGATTAAAACAATCTGAGAGTAAAGACAGGACACATATGACACTATTTTTAAAAAACTGAAAAAAAAGACAAACAGAAGAAAATAAAATATGCTAAAGTATAACAGAATAACTCTTGAAAAAACCATTGATTAAAGAAATTTAATTTTTGATGTTTTAGTCTTTCTATCTCCTTCTGCTGTGAATGGGAAAAGTTACTTCAAATTTAGAGCTGTCTCTCTCTTTTTGATTAATATATAAGCTATCATTTAACACATATATAAAAACATAACACATATACAAAAACTACTAAGAAACGGTGTCCCTCCAAGGAAGGACTTAAGTTGTTTACTCACCCTCCTTCTGTTTCTGGGTGATTTCACAGTGGATTTCTTTCCCTTCTGTCTGATGCCTGTGGCCTTGAAGTGGTGCCCAGCATCTAAAGGAAAATTAGACTCAGCTTAGACAGCATGGCCAGAAGAAAAAGCAATGGCACATGGTGACCTTGGTAAATCACCTTCCTTCTCAACACCAGTTTACTCATCATTTAAATCAGACTTTGCTGTCTTAGTTTCCCACTGTTCCTGAGCCTCAGATAAAGATGTAACTCACTGGAATTTTACATCTGGGACAGCTTCATGTGATGGTTAAAGCACAGACTCTGAAGTCAGACAGTCCAGGCTAAAATCTTTTTTTTTTTTAAATTGGGGTCTCACTCCATCACCCAGGCTGGAGTGCAGGGGCACACACATGGCCACCCCAGCATCAACCCTCTGGGCTCAGGTGATCCATCCGCCTCAGCCTTCCTAGTAGCCAGAACTACAGGCACACGATCCTACATCCGGCTAATTTTTTATTTTATTTTACTTTATTGTAGAGACGAGTTCTCGCCATGTTGCCCAGGCTGGTCTCAAACCCTCGGGCTCACGCAATTCTCTCTCCTCGGCTTCCATCAGTGCTAGGATTACAGGCTTGAACCTTTGTGTAAGGATCGAGTGACCTTGGGCAGGTTAAACTCCCTGGGCCTTAGTTTCTTCCTCTGTAAAATGCATATAATAATATAGCAGTATTATAGAGTTATCGTCAGGGCTAAATGAGTTAACATAGTCATTTGCGCACAATGATATTTTGGTCAACGACTGCCCGTCTATATGACAGTGGCTCCATAATATTGTAATGTAGCTGAAAAATTTCTTGTCACCTAGTGATGCTGTAACTGTCGTGACATCACAGCAATGTGCCACTCATGTGTTTGTAGTGATGCTGTTATAAACAAGCCTACAGTGCTGCCAGTTGTATGAGAGTACTAGCACATACAATTATGTGTAGTCCTTAATGCTTGATATTTTTTTTCCAGCTTGGAAAATATTGTTTATTTAGAAAGTAAATTGGAGAGAGGGAGAGAGAAGGAGAGGAGATTCGCCTCCCCAAGATAGAGGAGGGGGCTAAAGCTAGGAAACATGGCTTGGCCATGGCTCAAAGAGCCACATGCCACACCAGAGTTTACCAAAGCAATGGCCAATACTTGGTATTAATGACTAACAGGTGTATGTATTTGGTGTTTTATCTTACCGTGTGCTCTTTCTGCTTATAAAAAAGTTGACTATAAAGCAGTCCCAGACAGGTCCTTCAGGAGGTATTCCAGAAGAAGGTATTGTTATCTTAGGAGCTGACAGCTCCATGCATGTTATTGCCCCTGAAGACCTCCCAGTGGTTCAAGATGTGGAGGTGGAAGACAGGGATATTGATGATCCTGACCCTGTGTAGGCCTAGGCTAATGTGTGTTTGTGTCTGAGTCTTTAACAAGAAAGTTTAAAAAGTAAAAAACATCAAAGAATAAAAAAGCTTATAGACTAAGAATACAAAGAAAGTAAATATTTCATACAGCGAATTCTGTAAAGTGTGTTTGTGTTTTAAACTAAACGATGCTACAGAAGAGTTAAAAGGTTTATAAAGTAAAAAAGTTACAGTAGCTCAGACTGATTTATTATAGAAGGAAGAAAACTTTTCAAAATAAATGTAATGACATCTAAGTGTACAGTGTTTATAAAGTCTCCAGTAGTGTATTGTAATGTCATCTGTCTTCATAGTCATACACTCTCACTCACTAAATCATCCATAACACCTTCCATTCCTGCAAGCTTGATTCATGGTAAGTGCCCTATATAGGTGTGCCATTTTTAAATCTTTTATACCATATTCTTACTATACGTCTTCTATGTTTCTATACATCAATACTTACCATTGTGTTACCTTTGCCTACAGTATTCAGTACAATCACATGCTGTGCAGGTTTGCGGCCTAGGTGCAATAGGTTAGAGCAGGGGTCCCCAATCCCTGGGCCATAGACTGGTGCGCACCAGTCCGTGGCCTGTTAGGAACGGGGCTGCACAGTGGGAGGTGAGCGGTGGGTGAGGGAGTGAAACTTCATCTGTATTTACAGCCATTCCCCATCGCTCACATTACTGCCTGAGCTCTGCCTCCTGTCAGAGAGTGGTAGCATGAGATTCTCGTAGGAGCACAAATCCTACTGCGAACTGCGCACGCGAGGAATTTAGGTTGCATGCTCCTTATGATAACTGAATGCCTGAGATCTGAAACCGAGCTGAGGAGGTGATGCTTGTACTGGGAACTGCTGCAAATACAGCTTAACATGAGCAGTGAGGTTTGACTGCACAGAGACCTTAATAATTCAACTGCTTGCAGACTCATATCAAAACCCTATCCGTGATTGGCAAGTGAGTTGATGTACTTCAGTTTTACAGCTGCATTTGGTAGCAGGCTTTAAGTCAGACACTTATTTTAGTCTGTATGTGGCCTGTCTGTTATTTTATTGACCACTTTTTTCTGAACCTCTTTTTTATCGTGAGTTGTATAAGTATTTCATTTCATATTACAGTATGATAATAAAAGAAATAAAGTCCACAATAAATGTTATGTGCTTGAGTTATCCCGAAACTGTCCTCCACCCTGGTCCATGGGAAAATTGTCTTCCACGAAACTGGTCCCTAATACAAAAAGGTTAGGGACCACTGGGCTAGACGATACAGCCTAGGTATGTTGCAGGTTTGTGTCAGTACACTCTATGATGTTCGTACAACCACCAAAGTGCCTAATGATGCATTTCTCAGAACATACCCCCATCCTTAAGCACCACATGACTGTATATGTAAAATGCTTAGAACTGGACTTGGCATATATTAGGTGCTGAGATGCTAACTATTATCACTATTTTTAGTATTGCTAACTTTTTAACACCTTATCCTACTTGGATTGAGTTGAGATGGATATCTACATTGATAAAAAAGGAATAAGATTTTTGAACTGGTTATTTGATTCCTCTTACAACATGTATTAAGCGTCTTCATTTAAGGTGATAATGATCCATTAAATGTGTTTCAAAATTTGAAAAAGAAATGAACTTAGGAAATTAAAGGAACTTACAATCTTATAACATGTGATGAAATTTCTCCCGTCTTTTCAGCCAAGAGAAGTTCTCCTATCAACAATCAAAGTCGGACCTGTGAATCACCAAATCAAGACACAAGTCACCTAGAGGTTAGTTTACTGTAATCATGAGAAGAAGGGGAGCGGGGAGCAGTAATTCTTTGGACGTACTGTAGTGTGAAGGGAAAGGCCTAAGTTCTAGAACATACTCCCAGGCTCAAAGCCAAGCTTCCTCCCTGATTATGCAACTTTTAACGGCCTTTGGTTTTCTCTCAGTCTCGTATGAAATTTAGTTTTATGCATCTCCTAAAAGTGCGGAAGTGCTGACACAAGACAATATACGACTAGTGTTTTATCTCGATGGTTAGTGTGTAATGAGTGGCGCTTTATCTTAATGACTAGCACATAACACTCAATAACTGTACGTTATCATTACTCCTCCCAGATTACATAAAGTATCATCTTGTTCTCTGTCAATTATTGAATCCCCAAATGTTTGTTAGGTAACTAATGTAGGTAAGATAGTGCTGCAGGGGAGAAGTGGCGGGGGAAGAGGAAGGAGGTGTAAGATAAATACAGCACTATCCCTTAAGGAATCTATGTTTCATGAGGAGTCAAGACTAACTTACATACAACAGAAGATACAAAATAAAGCAGAGGATAATTCAATGCAAATTTATCACAGGGGTTCAGAAAAGAAAGGAAAGGCCAAGGTAGTTGAAAGCTACTTGGAGCTGGGCTCGGTGGCTCAGCCTGTAATCCCAGCACTTTGGGAGGCCGAGGTGAGCGAATTGCCTGAGCCCACGGGTTTGAGACCCGCCTGGGCAGTGAGACCTCATCTCTACAATAAATCAAAAAATCAGCCGGGCGTGGTAGCGCACGCCTGTAGTTCCGGCTACTTGGAAGGCTGAGGCGGAGGGATTGCCGGAGCCCAGCGGGTCGAGGCTGTGGTGGCCGGGAGCGGCCACTGCACTCCAGTCTGAGCCACAGAGTGAGACTCCAACTCAAAAAAAAAAAAAGGAAAGAAAGCTATTTGGAAGTGAAGACTGCCATTCTCTGAACATATCATTAGATGACCTGCCTTCACTTTCATTTCAATATGTGTAAAATGAAACTTGCTGTCTTCCATCAAAATTGTGTCCCCTTTCCAACTGATGCACCGCGGCCAGGAATATCATCACCCCTTTAACCCTCCAACCTGTAAGTTTTGGAGTCCTAATATATCGACCACTTACTGAGTAATGACTAAGTACAGACTGTGATTTATGTGTTGAAGGTGTATACTTTTTCACATTTAACATCTTTGAAATCGAGTGTACTTGGCAACCTTTGACCTTTTGCAGTCTCCCTGTGGGTAACAGTCTTGATTTGTTGTTGTTCTTGTGCAGCCTGAATTTGGTCGTCTCTAGCCCCAAATTACGCAGCATCAGGCATAGTGGCTTGGAAGTATATGTCAGAGGGAATGGTGGGATGCTCTTTTAAGAAGTAGCACTTAGCTGGGCTCGGTCGCTCAGCCTGTAATGCTGTGCTTTGGGAGGCTGAGGTGAGTGAATTGCCTGCACCTGAGGGTTTGAGACCCGCCTGGGCAACTTGGTGAGACCTCATCTCTACAATAAATCAAAAATTAGCCTGGTGTGGTAGCGCGCGCCTGTGGTTCCAGCTACTTGGAAGGCTGAGGTGGAAGGATCGCTGGAGCCCAGCAGGTCGAGGCTGAGGTGGCCGGGAGCGGCCACTGTACTCCAGTCTAGGCGACAGAGTGAGACTCTGACTCAAAAAAAAAAAGTAGCACTTAAAAAAAATAACAGTGTTGATACAAAGGATGTTACTCTTGAGGAAAACTCAAGTATTAACAACTCTGAGATGAAAATGTTAAATGTGAAGAAGTCTTAAGAACACCTACACCAATTTATTCCATTTATACTTACTTTTTACATATATATAGGATGGAAATAAAATCAAAAGGTATGCCTCGATAAGTCTGAAATAGGTCTTTCAACAAATATACAATAAAAAAATTCCTCACTTATACGTGAAGTACCCTAGTTTAATTAACAGGGTCCTTTTGTTCTTAATAATACATAAAATAGTGATGTGTCTTATAAACGATGACATCTTGGAAACAATGAAATCACAAATCTTGTATTGGTTTTACTTAATCTTCTCTAATTGATTTCTTCCTGAGTCATATTGTTTTCTTTTTGTTAAGTTACTCAGATGTGCTCTTTATTCTCTCTGCCCACTACTATCCTCTAAATCCAGAACCTTGGATTTTCTACCCCCAGACTGCTTCATATAATTCCACTTCATCATCCCTGACTAATCTTCCCGATGTATAATTTATTGGTTAGCTTATCATTCCACATAAGCTGTTATGTGCGAGGTGACGTCCTTTTATCCTGTCCCTTTCTCCTTGGGAGCTTTAGAGCAGATCCTGTGGACCAGCACCTCAAGACCAGATTGCTCTTCCTAGTTGTCCATGCCGCCTACCAACTGGCACCATCCTTCCTAATGACCCTCTCTCTGATTACCCCTTAAGTCAATTAAGCATTGCGTCCAACTTACAGTGCATGCTCATTTTAGCATCTGAATCTTTGCTCAGACTGTTCCCTCTAGCGGGAATGCCTGCTTTCCTCCTTACTCCATGTCTAAATCTCATCCTTTTAAGGAACAATTAAGATCTTAATTTCCCCACGAACTCTTGTCTAATTAGCTTAAACCCACACTGTCGAATGCAGTAGCCACCAGGCCCATGTTACTATTGAACACTTGAAAGATGGCTATTCTGAATTGAGTGTAGACTGTATACTGGATTTTGAAAATGTAGTATAAAAAAGAATGTAGCTCTCTTCCCTACTGAAAAAGTCTTGACCCTTATTGCAATAGATTTGAATAAAATCCTCATTACTATTTTGAAAAAAAATTGTAAACATCTTAATAATTTTTGCATCGATTCTATGTTGAAATAATAAATTTTGGTTAAGCAGAATATATTATTAAAAATAATTTACCTGTTTCTTTTTACTATTTTTAATGTGGTCTCTAAAATAGTCAAAACCAGATACGCAGCTGTCTGTGGCCTGCATTATATTACTATTAGACGTGCTGCTCTGACATTTGCTTACCTGTCTTAAAACTTAACTGTAAGCACTTGAGTTTAAGGTTCAGATTCTTTTTTTGGTTGTTTTTTTATTTCGAATCAGGGTCTCACTCTCTTGCCCAGGCTGAAATACAGTGGCATGCTCACAGCCACTGCAACCTCAACTTGCTGGGCTCAGGTGATACTTCTGCCTCAGCCTTCCTAGCAGCTGGAACTACAGGCACGTGCCACCATGCCCGGTTGGATTTTTGCTTTATTGTGGAGATCGGGTCTCGCTAAGTTGCCCAGGCTGGTCTCAAGCCCCTGGGCTCAGGAAGTCCTCTCGCCTCCGCCTCCCAAAGTGTTGGGATTACAGGCATGAGCCATCGTGCCCAGCTAAGGTTCAGATTAATCTAATTTTTAAAAATATCTCGAATCACCTGAGACACACAGAATATGCTCATGCTAACAAATTATGTATTTGATCATGTTCAGAAGACTTATTCCATAACATTTCTAGCTGTATTTGTCTCTCTATGCATCATGGTAGAATAATGCTGTATTTTGTAAATAAAACTTGAAATTGTAAGGGATAAACTTCTAGATAGATTTTTGTGGATCTTTATACTTCAGTAAAGAATTGCATCTATAAAACCTGTGGAAAAATATCTCACATTACCTGGGCAGATTACATTTGTTAACTAAGTGTAATTAAGATAAGCTACAAGGTAAGAGAATTGCTGAATATATACTTATAAATCACAGTAAAGGTCATCATGTGTGGTTGGAAAAGTATCCTGTACCCCTCCCCTGATGAAAGAGGAAAAAAAGCTTGAACCTTGCATTTCAATTCTCGTGTTCTGGTTTTAAACTTATTAGCTCCTACTAACCTGGTGCTTTTTTTTTTTAGCCTTATACCCCTACTCAGTTCACCTCAGTATGATGAATTGTTGATTTATAACTCTCCTGTAGATACTGGACATGGTGAGGAAAATAAAAGAATCAAAGACAAAATGAAATAAAATATATAGAAGTAATTAGCCTAGTGCTTGAAATGACACAGAGGATCTTTACAAGTCTGTTTCCATTCTTTCTTAGATGACGGCACAAATCACTTACCTAAGACATTATAATCAGTTACACTGGAAAAAAACTCCAAATATATGTATATACATATATGTAACCATGTGTGTCATATGGCAGCTAATTCTAGAGAATATACCTAAAGGAAAACAAATAAACTAATCTGCTATGTTCACCTTTAAAAGGGACTCCAGGTGGTCTGTGAAACATTCCAGTCAGACTCCATCTCACCTAAGGCCACCATTTCAGGCTGCCACCGAGGAAACTCCTTTGATGGAAGTCTGTCCTCCCAAACTTCCCAGGAAAGAGGTCCATCACATTCCAGGTACAGAATTGCAATGTTAGAAAAAAATGTATCATTGGTCATCAAAAATTAAATATGCATTTTTAGCTACATTGATTGCCTCTGTTCCTTCAAATCTATATATGTAGGAAATGTGTATTCATGGTCTTGGTCAAAGTATAATTAGAGTAATAATTCCAGAAATCTACTTATGAATGGCTCTCATTTAAACAAGCTAGGGTGGAAGTGGGAAGACATACCTGACTTAATGAGGTGACATACCTGACTTAATGAGGTGTCTGAATTAGAAACTATTTTAAATGTTTAAGTGCAGAAACATAATCAACAGATTATGTTGCAGAGATGTTAAAATATTTGCTTTAATATATAAGGATATTTTATACCAGTGGATCCTTGTTTTAGAATGGGTACTTCTAAAGAACTTAGGAATTAAAAAGTCTGTTCTTCTTAAGCACTCTTATTCTGCCCTTGTTATTTTATGTACATGGTGAATTTGCTTGAAAACACCCTCCCCAGAAACAAGAACTAGTCGACTCCTTCCTACTCCTTGATGGAAATGTGGACACCTGTAGTCATGAAGCTTGCCCTAAGGGGTGAAAGTTCCAAGACCACTTTCTTTAGCCATTGATCAGTTGATTAATATTTGAGCTATTTTCGCTTTTCATCTATTATGAACAATGCTACAATAAACGTTCGCTTACAAATTTTAGTGTAAGCATAGGTTTTCATTTCTGTTGGTGCTATACCTAGGAGTGGGATTTCTGGCTTGTATGGCAAATTTGGGTTGATTTTGTTTTTTTAAGAAACTGCCAGATGTTTCCAAAATGACTGTACCATGTTATATTCCCACTGGCAACATATGAGAATGTGTTTTTCTGTATCCTCAGAAACCTTCGTTATTGTGTCTTTTTGATAGCTATTCTAGTGGGTTTGAAGTAAGATCTAATTGTGGTTTTAATATACTTTGTCTTAAATGACTATGATGTTAAGTATATTTTCATGTGCTATTAGCTGTTTGAACATATTCTTTGATAATAGGTCTATTCAAACATGTTGCCCACTTTTTAACTGGATTGCCTTATTATTACATTTTAAAAGTTCCTTGTACAATCTGGGTTCCAGTTTTTTACTAAAAAAAGATTCACAGCTATTTCCTCCGAGTATCAGACTTACCCTTATATTTGATGATTTTTAAATGACCTGTTTTCATGTGGCACCAGAACCAGACTACATAGGTACAGTGTTTTTGAAAGAGTTCTTAGAATTATTGAAAGTATGGAGCCATGTATACACAATTGCTTTTTTAATGAAAAATATTACTATGTTATGCTTTAAAAGTATGTAAAGAAAGTGTTTATCTTTGTGTCTTTTTTTGACTTTAAAAGCAAATAATCAGTTGAATAATGTTCTGCTGGTTGAGACTATGAAATTGTGACAGCAAATTTGGTTTTGTAAACAAGGCTGTTTGTGCATATCTACTAATATGCTGTCCCATATTATGGGTGATGATGAGTGCTTAAAATCGTATCATATGTGTGGAATCTAAAAGTGTTGAACTCATAGAAGTAGAGATTAGAATGATAGTTACCAGAAGGTGGAGGAGGAGGATGAATGGAAAAAGAGAAGCTGTTGATCAAAGGATGCAAGATTTCAGTTAGATGGAAAGAATAAACTCTAGCGATCTATTGCAAAAAATGGTGACTATAATAAATAATAAAGCATCATATATTTCAAAATTAGTTAAAAAGTAGGTTCCGAATATTTTCATCACTGAAAGTATGTGAGGTGGTGAATTTGTGAATTAGTTTGATTTGATCTTTCCACAGTATAAACATTTATCAAGGCATCATTGTACTCCATTAATATATAATATATACAATGCTTATCTGGCAATTAAGAATAAAATCTTAAAAAATTAAAAATAGAAAATAATTTGGAAGGAATTCTATGAGGATAACTAATCTAATCTATTGCCATCTAGCTGATGCACTAACAACACTTTAACTACTTAAACACTTTAAGCAATGAGGAATTCATTACTCTCTGATGAACTATATTTCATTTTTAGATAGCTCTATTTAGTGGAATGTCCTTATATTTGACCAAAATATGCTTTTTTATAGTTTCTGTCTATGGTTCCTGCATTAATTTTTTTTTTATTGCTGTGTAACAGATCACAACAAGCTTAGAGGTGTCAAACAATACATATTTATTATCTCAAAACTTCTGTAGAGAAAATCCAGGCACAAGTTAGGGTCTTACCGAACTGGAATCGGGGGGTCTGTATGGACTGTAGTCTCCTCACATGCTTGACTGGGGAAAGATCCACTTACAAAGTCTCTCAGGTTTTTGACAGAATCCATCTCTTTGCAGTTATAGAACTATGGCTGTTCTTTTCTTACTAGCTATGGGCTGGAGGCTGGTCTTAGTTCTAGAACTTGTCCACAGTTCACTTCCACATGGCCCTCTCCATAGGCTAACTCACAGCAGTGCAGCTTACTTCTTCAAAACCAACAAGGGCGAAAAACGATCTAAAATTCCAATCTGGTAATACGGAGTCATTATAATGTGACATAACCACAGGAATGACATCCCATCACCATGGTTACAGAAGTGAACCTAATTATGGTAGTGACATCCCATTACCTATGCCATATTCTGTTGGTTATAAGCAAGTCAAAAGTCCTGCCTGCAGTCAAGAGAAGGAGATTATACCATGTGGGAATCAGAGCATCTCCCCTAAAATCTGCCTGCACCATTCTTTTGAAGATGTGTAAACTCTTCCCATATAAGCCTTCATATAGCTCTAGATAGCTCTATTTAGTGGAATGTCCTTGTATTCAAAAGTAACCATTATGACCACCCTCACAAGACTCTCATTTTATTTGATGTCTCACAAAGTTATCAATGACAAAATTAAATCAGATTTGTGGAAAGATAGTTACTTAAGACACAGACTAAATAGGATAACAATAATAACTATTTTTTTTTTACATCTTCTATGTACAAAACAGTGCTTCAGTCTTTACATTTGTGGTATTATTTAAATATGAACTTATTCATTTATTTTTATTTTAGTTAGATGGCACCACTATTGACTGATATATCTCAGTCAAAAATATGAGGTTTACTCTACTCCAAGTCTTTTACATTCTGACTTCCTAATAGTACTTAAATCCTTTCTCCCCCCTAACCTCATAGTGGCTGCTTTAGTTCAGATTCTTATAATTTCTTACTTAAATTCTGCAACTGCTTCCAAACTAGTCTTTCTATAGTCAGCATTACCTCCTCCTAATCCCTTATAGATGTACTGTGGCCAAAGTGATAATACCTGTGGACTAAAGAGACAAGTTACCTGCACTAACCATACCAACAGACAGTGGTGAAATAGGCATAGGATTCCTGCTGTGGATGTGTCTTTTCAAATGGAGGAAATGGGAGGTACTGGTCCATAACAGTTCTGAAATTAAACTTGGAAAAGAGTTGGAAGCCCCTTGATTAGAACTCAGTCCTACTCTTGCCCATGGCTCTTGGCTCCTTCCTCTGAGCTTAGTAATTCTATCCTCTGAGTCATCTTTCTTTTTTCCAGAAAGTGGCACAGTCAAGTAACTTCCTCAGCCTGATTCCTGCCAATAAAGTGTTGAGGGTCCAGCAGCCACTTTTCATTTTGTGCTGCCTGTGGAAGTGTTTTTGCTGATATAATTCTTTCAAAAACTTTGTGGGTCTACTGTAAATCTTATTAGAGTCTATTAGAATGGACAAAATACACATCCACAAATCTAAGATAATTCTATCTCTATTTGTACTTCTCTTGAATTGCAACAACCTTAAGTTTCTTATAAATTTTCTCCTTCTCCCTCTTTTGATAGATCGATAGATAGAGAGATAACAGTTTCAAAGTCTTTAGAAAGTCTATTGTCTAATGAAACAATATTCTTTGGCATTGTTTTAGATCATCCTGAAGTCTTAACAAATGGCCGTAGAACTATACCATTGGCTTCATATTTAGACCATGTTTTTCTCAACAGTTTCCTAGATTCGGTGTTTGCTTGGAAGCCATTTCTTAATTTTAGCATTATCTGCCATCTGGAGAGGCTGAGATTTTTCAAAATGATCAAGTCTCAGCTCATTAGTCTTTAACAGTTCTTCCTTTAGTTCATATCTTTTCTCCCTCAACTTACTAAAAACAGCAGGAATAAGTTAGAAGTTACCTTCAACATTTTATTTGGAAATCTCTTTTGTTAGATCACCCAGTTTTGTTAAGCACATTTTTTAAACTTTCCATGTCACAGCAAGCAACTTTCTGTCACTACATAAAGAAAGTCTTCCTCTTCCAGTTTCCAATAGTTTGCTGCTTACTCTTTGTTAAGCCCTCACCAGCGACCGCCTCAAAGTTCAGGAGTTCTACTTGCAATCTGTACAAGGCAATTTATGCTATATTTTTTAACCCACTCCTCAAAGGCTTAACTTACCTACTGCTTGATTCCACAACCGACTTTTACTTGCAATCTGTGAGTAAACCTTTCTTAAAATTTGGAGTGTTATCTTTGTTCCAAAATCTTTATTAGTTATCAAATTGTGTATAACAAATTACCCCAAATCTTAGCAAATTAAAACAGAAGACATTTATCATCTCACATAGTTTCTGAGGATCATGTATCTAGAAACAGCTTATCTGAGTGATAGTGGCTCAGGATCTCTCAAGATGTTGACCAGGACTTCAGTCATCTGATGGCTTGACTGGTGTGGAGGATCTGTTTTCAAGCTGACTCAGATGGCTATTGGCTAGAGGGCTCAATTTCTTAGCATCTGGGTCTGTCCATAAGGCTGCTGAAGACATGGAAGCTGGCTTCCCCAGAACAAATTCTCCAAGATGGAAGCTTCCGTGTCTTTTATAACCTCATCACTGAAGTGACATACCATCACTTCTACCGTATTCTGTGGATCACACCAACCAACTCTGGTACAGTGTGGAAGAAGAATACACTAGTGTGAATACCAGGAGGAAGGGATCACTGGGG